AGTATGTTGATGTATAACTCTCTCTCTCACACACATAAGAGAGCTTTGCACTCTCCAACATTCCTCATCAAACATAATTATCTTTGATGTGTGCTGAAGAACTCACGTTGGTAGAGTAATAAGTTCATTTCAAAATAGTACGAAAGTTCAGCACACGCTAAAATAATCAAAGAGACAGGTTGTAACACCTGAAATTTTTAGGTGAAAAGCCTGAAATGGTAAAAAAATCACAGGGGTCTGATCCAGTTAGAACGATCCACTATGGTTTAGTTAGTACACGTACAAGTTTTGTCCCACATGTGGGAATAATTATATAATTTTTTGAAGTACAATGTCTCATGCATAACTGCAGGAGTGATTGTAGTTGAGAGTAGTTACTAGAACTTTAGTACATTGTCTTCGAGGTGCATCACTATACATCGTTAAGAATGATGTGATATTCTATCTGGAACATTGTTACTTTGCAACTTGTGACGGGATTCCTCAACAAACTTTGTGATTCTGCAAAAGGACTCATTGCAATGAGTAGAGAGCGACAGACAGTAGTTGATAGCAATTGGCGAGTGTTAGTCAACGGTGATCGATGGTTGCAGGAGTGAGTGGCATTCATTGGACACCTATTGTTTAACACTGGAGTTCAACTCATTCTCTTGTGATCCCGCTCCAAGCTTAGATCTTAGTCCCCTCCTTAGGGAGGGGTTAATGCTCTTTTTATAGAGTATGAGAGAGACCTTCTGCAAATTATGAAGGAATCCAGACCTTTGCATCAGACGATTCCGCGAGATTCCTCCCAATCCATGGTTTCCTTCGCATATTTAAGTATCTTAACGATGTCGGAATTGAATGATCTTGGACTCTTTAGATTTGGCTTGCCGAGAAGTTCGATTCGATCATAAGCTTGTGGGATTTAAAATTCATTTGATCTTCCAATTGGGCTCAATCAGACTTGATTTGGCTCAGATTAGGACAATTTTGGTGTCATTGGATCTCTCTCGTCGTGCCAATCAATTTGATTGTAAGTTCGCTAAAATCATAGATCTGGATGATTTAATCAAAGTTTGAACAAATTTTATTTAGAAAATTCTCAGAGATTCATATCAAATGACAAAATTTACCGCACAATTCTTATGTATCTAACCCCAAAAGTTTGTTAGTTACATTTATATCACATTGGCATAAAAAAAATTATGCATGAAAAATTCACAATCAAGTTAGTTATTGTACTATTTTGATGTTATGCTAACGATTTAAATAGTATGCATGCAAATATCAAAAAATATATTGGTATTAGGTATGCTAATATGTATGAATTATGTGGTATTCATGTAAATGTCACAAAAAAGATGATCAATTTTCTTATTTGGCATTTTAAAATGTTTTAACAAACATTCCTTTTCTTTTCAACCTGAAAGCGTCAAGTTGATAGATGAGGGCTACTTGTTTACAGGGTTTTATTATTTAATGCAGAATTAAATTAAATTAAATCAATTTTCTTGTGTGTTTTAATAGTTTTGATTAAAGATGTTCCATATTGATATATTTTTAATATGAGAAGTGATAGAGCTCAATAATTGGAGAAAATATTGCGTCCGGAGTCCGGACGTAAGCTACGTCACGGGGAGGTCGAGGTCGTTTTTTTTTCCCCTCCGCTTCCTCCGTACATCACGTCAGCTTACGTCCGGACTCAGGACTCAATATTTCTTCTAATAACCGACTGCCCCTACTAGAAAATTTTGGAGCAGAAATAATTACATTTATTTAATATGACATTAATAATGGTGTTTCTTTTCTTCTCTCATAAAATTAATTTTTTTCCATTCCCATTTTAATAAAGTAATAATTTAATATACAATATCATCAGAATTTCTTAGAACAACAAATAATCTTTTGTAATTTTATTAAAATTACACACAAAAAGGTAATTATGCTTTCTCGAACCCTGTAAATACAACTTATTTCCCATAAGTTTACATTTACATTCACGCTTTAAATAATCTGGAAGTCGACAATCATCTGCAGTGTACACCTTCATGATAAAATATAGAATCTAATAGAAAAGTAATCGTTCTTCTTGACCTTTCTCTCTAGTCTTCATTTAATACTTCTTCCATCTATGTTCATTCATCATGCTATTAGAGCATCTCTTAGCACCTCTCCCACATGAATAGTTATCCCATTTGGTGTTTGCAACATCTTGAACTATTCAAAGTCAATGGATTTGAAACATTTCCAATGAAACCTCTTCATGTCCTTCAAAATAATTTATGGTTGCTATTGGATAACCTATTTTGAATTTACATTACCCCACATGATAACTAATGAAATAAAATTTAGATGTTGCATTATACTAAAATTTAGTTGTTGCGCTAGACTTTACAATCTCATCCACAATTCTTCCATATGATCTGAATCTCAATACTTAATTAAAAATTTGGCTAACAACTGTGTGTCATCTTCAATCCAGTAGCAAATTTAATATCATTTGAATATAGAACAAATCCCATAACATTTCAATGCAAATTAAGTCATTGACTCAATATTTCTCTAATATCAAAACTCTCGTTAATAATAACATTGTGTTAGATTTTCAACTTGATCTTGTGGGAAATTTTCATATATTCTAAATGGTCTTCCTCTTTGTTGCCAAGCTTTCTAAATGACAGTTTGACCAAAGTTATTGTGTGTTAGTTTTGATGTTTTCTAAGCTCCTCTTTGTACTGAAGAAATTAGCAACATGATAAGGAAAAATAACGGTATCAAATTAAAAACACTTTTGCTTTTTCTCACCTCTTACACTAATCACGATGACAATATTATTTCTAGCAAATGTTGACTCTCTAATCTATCATGCACTAAGTATGGTGCCTCAGTGCCTCAAGCCTTTAAAGGTTGACAAATTTTAATAATATAAAATAGAAGGTTAAATATAAAGTTGACACAATTAAAACTATTTTGGGTGTATAATAATAGTTTTTATCATATGAGAGGAAATACACTATTTATACACCTTATATAGGGATTATCTAACTCCCATTCTCATACAAGATTCACCACTTCACTTCTAATTAAGATTTGATATTATCACTTTCAAATATAATAATAAAATCATATAATTTTTTTGGTATTAAAATTTAGGAATTTTTAAAGAGGGTTTAATCATCAATCAAATATCTTAAAATTTTAATAGGAGATTGATTAAATTGTGTAAAAGGTTAATCATAATTTCAAAGCATAAAAAAATTTAAACTAAGTAGAATCAAATATATAAGTTCTTAAAATATATTATGTGTATTGAATAGTTTTAATTGATGAGGTATATGGGTATACTTAAACTTCTAAAAAAGCCTTTAAATACCACTTGATTATCTTTATGTTTTTAATACCTTCGATGAATGATTAAATATCTATAAAAAATGAAAATGCTTAATTCACATATAATTTTTATATTATAAACCACAATTATCTATAGAAATTGCTAATGTAACCTTAAATTAGTATACTATATAAAGAAGAACATATAAAGCAAATGAAATTTGATGTTATTAAACCTTTTAAGGCAATTTAATTTATTAGTTTAGGGTTTTTTGAAAAGGAATGCAATATAATTGAAATGTTGTGTATTTGATATACTTTCAAGTTCTTAGGTTTGTTGTAAAATAAATATAGTAGTTTATCCTTTTTTGGTTTGATTTGAAGAAAACTAAATTAATATAAAAGATGCTTAGTGGCGGCGATCAATACAGACCAATCAACGACATTGGGAGCGGCCTGCAGTTTATAATGTAATTAAAAATCACCTAAATCTAATGAATTCGGAATACACAAGTTTTGAATTGCAAAGTAAATTTAAATGTTATAAAAAATTTACACTATATTTCATTTTCATCTAACCAAATGCCAAAATGTAAAAAATCTCTATATTTGATTTATTTTACATGAAAAATTCAATCAACCAAACTTTTTCTAATGAATTAAAGCACGCATAAATAGTTTACTCAAATATTAAGTTTAATCACATTTATTATTAGCTTTATTTTTTAATCAACAATGAGTAAGTAATTCTTGGTTAATTAGCAATCTTAATTTATGTTTTATTGACTATTACTTGTATATCAAGTTGATCAGATTCGATCTAACTTGACCATCATATGAAATCAACCTTGAAAGTATGACTTACTTAATATGGGCATGCAAACCTAATGTTTTTGTTAGAATATACTTGAAATCTAAATCTTTAAATTGAAGAGAATATTCTTTACCAACTCCTCTGCAGATCTTGCAAAGTAGACTTGAGATTGGAAAATCATTTTCCTTATTGCAATCTATAATTCATTCTTCATAATTTTTCTTCATGATATTAAAATGTTCAATAACATCTAATTTCGTCTTAAAATTGAAGTTGATGGGTTAAGCGAGCTATTCTAATCATGGCTTACTTGATATGGGCATGCAAACCTAATATTTTTGTTAGAATATACTTGAAATCTAAATCTCTTAATTGAAGAGAATATTCTTTACCAACTCCTCTTCAGATCTTGCATAGTGGACTTGAGATTGGAAAATCATTTTCCTTATTGCAAACTAGAATTCATTCCACATAATTTCTCTTCATGATAATAAAATGTTCAATAACATCTAATTTCGTCTTGAAATTGAAGTTGATGGGTTAAGCGAGCTATTCTAATCGAATTTTAATTTAATTGTGTTGATGCAAGATGAGATTTAGCATCTATTTTAATTTAATTGTGTTGATGCAAGATGAGATTTAGCATCTTAGAAAGAAAGATGAGGAGTGATAAAGGAATAAATGAATATTATAATTACTTATATTATTATTTTTATTATATGTTATTTTTACATTATCATATTGTTATGTATAATGGTGACAATATTCTTTTAAATTGGACAAGGCTTCATTTTAAACCTAAAATGCACGTCCAAGCCCAATCACATGTTTAGGGCAACGCCTTAACGGCACGGCGTCTCTGTTATCAATACCGTACCTTTTCTGCACCCAGCGCTGGCAGCCATGGAAACCGAAGCGGAGGTGTTTGAACCATTGGAGCTCCATTACTCCGATCTCGTCCTCCTATCTTCATCCCGTGCTGCTTCATCCTCTTCTTCCTCCGAAGAACGGGAGAGGATCGAGTTTGTCTCCAGCGCTGTCATGAAAGCTCTAGGGCCGTTGGGTCCTGGTCTTCTAGCGATCACCGGAGTTCCGAAGGCTTCCGATTGGCGCCGGAATTTTCTTCCTCTAGCGCGGAAGTTGGCACTCCTTAGTAAGAAGGAACGAGCGCAAGTGCTCAAGGTAAGCTCGCATTTTGCTTTCTTTGGTTCGGCTAGTTCCTTTCTATGTTGTACTTCTCATTTATGCTTTTGGAGATTTCAAAAGTTTTTTCTTTGTCATTGTCTGTCTGGATCATGTTATGTAATATTCTTGCCTTGTTTGTGCGATGTCATTGCTGCTGATATAGAGTTCTTTAGCTGGGATAAGCAGGCGTCTGGTTGTTGAAGGTTCATAGGTTTGCTAAAATGCTATAAAAGGTCTACTAGGCATGAGGTATTTGCATCTTGATATTTATCAAATAAAGGTCATGTTTGATTATGGTATGATTTGGCTATAAGAATGATTTAACTCAATAGGATTTAGCGTAGTTAATCATAGAAAATACAAAAGCAAGCGCAGAATTCTCCATGGAGCCATAAAATATGGTGCATTTGTTGCATTTTAAGCATAATGTAAAATATTTAAAATAATAAGAATAAAATGCAGATAAATATGAAGAATTATTTAAGTGAAAGATAAACTATCTTAATAATAGAAACGTGATTTGCATATATACCGCTCAACTCCTACATATTTACATAGTTAACTCTTAAACTTCAATTTAATTGCATAATGCCATCTTACCTATGCATGAAAATGTTTATTTCACTGTTTCAAAAGTTAAAATGGAGATATTTTTTTGTGGTGTGAAAGATTTGGGTCGCATAAGTGTAAAAGGCAATGTTATGTGTTAGATATGTAAATACATAGGAATTGGGTGGTATGTATATAAATGCACCTAATAAAAATAACAAAAATAATGCTTACACTAAAGTGCGCAAAATTTCAATCACTTAAATTTTAAAATATTTTATATTTATATTTTCTTACAACTCTAATATTTTTATAAAAAATAAATTTCTCTATTAAAAAATAGTTATCATAAGTCAAGCAACTTTATTTCTTTCATTAGCATCATCATTATTTTCTAAATCATAATCTTCTTCATTATTTTCACCATTTTCATGTTCATTCCCAAGAATTTTTAGTCCTAAATGAAAATTTAGATTGCTCTTGAATATTATATTTTCTTTCATAGATATAGTGTCTTTTAGCCCTTTGCAGTAGTATTTTATGCAAAATCTTTTTCACCAATAATTACTTCATTATTTTTATCCCAATCATTGTCAATCTATCATGTTAACTACCATTTTGCTTCATTTATATTATTTAAAAAGATAAGGTCAATAACATCATGATTGACTATATATGCAAACTAAAACATTGTTAAATTTTGCGTAAACTATATCTTTGAGATGATTGCGATCCATTTTGTTTCTTTCTTTGCTAACAACCTGTATTTAAAATTTATTAAATTATAAAATTTTGCAATAAGAAACAATAAACATTATTATTTTTTTGCTTATTTTCAAAAATGCTCAAATTCTCTTCACATCAAGATAAAATATGGGTTAGGCTACGAATTCTAGTTGCAAAGCATTGTTAGTGAGCCAAATGTTAGCCACCAATCAAGTAGAAGTTTTCAAAAACTTTCATTGTCATATTAAAATATTATTCAATATTAATTATATCTTTATCACAATTATATTATTTGGTGTTTGAATGGCCTTTATCTTATAGTTGCAGGAATACCAAAAAGCCTTTCATGTGTATTATATATGCTCATCTATTGTTAATTTTATCTTTTTCGTTGACATCCTTAGCCAATCTTTAATGCATGCCCATGATCCATCGGCTATTTCTTTGTCCTTTGCAATATCAATTTTATTGAAAAAGTATTCTGGATTTAAGAAATGTGTTGTTGCATGTAAAGATCAGCGGAGTTGTACTTTCCATATTCCATCAATAAATTAAAAATTTGCTTTTACTTATCATTATTGGTAAAACGAATCGCTTCTTTGACCCTATCCATTACTTAATATATTCAACCCATTAATTTTTTTCCCATAAACTAATCTAAAAAGATCTTCAACAAAGGGCCTCCAATTTTTCAGCACATAAATAACAATATTTTAAATAATTGCTTCAAAATGGTTTATTGTGTTTGCTTTACCTTGGTCATTTTTTTTTAATATGAACAACAACAACAAAGCCTTAATCCCACTACTTGGGCTCGGATACATGAATCCTTTTTCTCCATTGCATCCTATTTAGTGTCATATTTTCATTTAGTTCTAATAAAAAGATCATTTTTTATACAATAAGCCCAAGTCTTCCTAGGTCTACCTTTATCTTTCTTAACATAAGTCGAATCTAAAACATCTACTCTCCTAATTGAATCATCAGATAGTCGATGTTTAAATTGTTCACATGTAAATATTTTCTTCAAATATATTTATTGATGATGAAAATTTTGTAATATTAAAAGGGTAACAACAAACTGAGTTTTGGAAAGCTTTGATAAGTGATCTTTAATTTGCACACCTCATTAGGCTATGTAATCGGAGTCCTGAAAAAAGAAAATTATATACCACTACCACATTCTTAAAACATTTTAATCTTTGAATCTTAAATATATCATCTATTATTAAGTATAATAATGAGAGTTCAATAAATCCAATGTAAGTGTGGATGTGTATTCATCAATAAGTTTCTTGCAATAATATCGAAAATCATTCAGAAATAAATAATTTATCTGCAGAAAAATAATCTATAGCTTAATTGAAATGGAAGCATTCATTGAGTTACTATAAGAAAAGCATATTCTCAAAAGTATTAACTGACTACTTGAATGACACAATGTGATTCGATCCCCTCAAGATGCTCATTAGCAGTATTTTTTACAGCATTCTTTGAAAAAAAAAATGTTTTCAACTAAATCTATTAATCAGGTTTCTTTTGGATGATTCACTAAAGAGTAAGTCAAACTTTTTTCACCATAGGATGTTCAAATGTCAACCATAAAGAAAAGTTATGTTTAAGATAAACTTTTTCACGGTGTTGCAATAGTTCATGTGTGTTCCATCTTCTTCAAGTGTGAAACCCCTCATGATAACTAGATGGCTTTATACCACAACCAAATTGCCTAAATTCTTTTATTACTATTGAAATGGTATCATTATTTAATTGCCTTCAAGGAAATAACAACATCATACATCCAATGACAAAATATTTGGATTCCCCTTTCTCTCATTTTTTTTCTAACATCTATAACTTTTTGCATTTTACCCTTTCGTCGGTTTATCCTTAACAAGATTTGGTGTAAATATACTGTCCAATGACCTTTTGCCTTTGGATCATTAAGCATAGAAGTTCTTAAACTTTGATTAGAGGCATTTGATTTTGATTTATGATATCTTTTTAATATTTCATCATATAAAATAACTTATGTCGTCATATTAAAATCATTAATTTCATTAATATATTCATATGACATTTCATTAACTAGAAATTTCAACTTCTTTTAAGATTTATTAATTTCATCTTTCATTTGTTGAGGGTAGTTAATGCAAGATTTATCATTTTGAAAAGCCCCAACCAAGTATTTTTTTATGATGAATAATTCCTCATTTTATCATTTTACCATAAAAAAACATTTCACGTAATTGTTATAATTTTTTTTATCAAGATTGCATATTCTTATGTTGGATTATTTTTTACTTTTTTAATTGGCTCCAACATTTCGTTAAGTGCCTAATAATAATAAAGGTAATAATATAACATATTTAAATCTATTTTTGCTTTCTTAAAATTCTATTGATAATACCAAAACGCGCAAACAAGTGTTAACCTGAAAGTTAATTCAAATTGATTATCTGAATAAACTTTAAAAACATCTTTAAAGTTATTCATGCATATGCTTACAATTTTACTATTTCTCTTTACTATTTTGTAAGCATTCACTTGTTCACCAATATTCTTCAGTTTTATCTTTTGTTGTTTCTATGCAAAAACTTATGAACTGCTTGCAAGTATGATTTAAAAATTTTAGCTTGTAGCGAGATGTGGCTTGCGGCAGTGATGGATATGCAATAGGATTGATGTGGCTTACTTAGGGTGTATGGCAATTGATTTGGAGATCCCAATGTTGAAGGTGAGACAAACTGCGAATTGTTCTTTTCCAACCCGAATATGCCGAAGAAAGAATATGAGACAAGCTCAAGCCCAGCTCATGAGTTCAAACCAAAGTCAATGGTTGGTGCTCTCTTGAGGATGCATAGCAGTGGCTCATTAAAGGATACAATGATGGAAGCTTGCGTGAACATCTTGGAGGATGCAGTAATGGTAGCTTGCTAGAGGATCCAATGATGTGAGCTTGCACATGAACTTGTAGCAAAAACTTGTTGCAGGATGCATTGAACTCATTGGAGGATGCGACCGGAACTCACTTGACGACTCTGAAGTTACGATTTCTTGGTTTAGTCTTGCTAGCCTTTTTTTGGGCAAATAGGTTGGAACTTAAAATCTCTAAAATTCTTCTTGATGAGATTTGAGCTAAATCTTTTTTAAATCCTGCCCAAAATATGACACCAATTTGCCTATTTAGATTTAATGATGGCATTAGGTTTATAAATACATGGTCTAACTAAGGGTCTGTTTGGCGCAGCTGCAGCTTCCCAGCTTGGCTGTGGTTGCGCTGCCCCAGGAAGCTGCTGCGGGGAAGCAGCTGCGGGGAAATTGACTGTCTGTTTGGTGCAGTTGTGTGAAAACAGCTGTGGGACAGTTTTTTCTGGAAAAATGACCATCCTGCCCCTGTTCGTTAAAACTGTTTAAAAGAAGACTGTAATAACATGCTACCCTAACCAACCCTTACTATGTTAAAAAAAATACAATTTTTTTAAATACTGAAAATTTCTTAGAAAGAATTATTAACTATTTTTGAAAAAATAAAAATTTTATTTTTAAAAATAATTGTGAACCACAAGTTTTAAAAACAAGATAGAAAAAAATTATAACAATACAAATGATCCCAAATAACCACACTTCGAACTTTGCCTAAAACTCCACAACTCCAGAAATTTATTCAGGGCAAGGGAGTGAAGTCATGTTCCTCATTTCATTCATTTTGTGTATCTTAAATC